CATATGATTCAACCTGGTAATTACTGTGTATTTGGTTCAAATCTATAATCTTATCTTTTTTTCCTATTTGTCCCAGGCTTTTTTCTTTTTCCTTCAATTCTTGAATTTGTTTTATTAATCCAGTATGTTTTATTATATTATTCCATTTTCTTTGCCATTAGCTTATTATACATCCTTATCTTATTGACTAAATAATGGTCATGATAAGTTGATAAGTGGGTTGATGCGGGGCCAGAGTAGTATTTGAGGCAGACCTGTTAGGAGATCAGCTACTTCTCCCCCAGAGCCAAGTCCCTAAGATAGGGGTCGCCACAGAGGATAAGGAAATTGATAGGCAACAGAGAGAAATAAAAGAATACACAGAGACTAAGGTATAGTTTTATATATATATAAAGATCAGATATAACACAGCAGGAAGTACATAGGGGACTGGCGTATCTCCATAAACTCCAGCAATATGGTTAGATTAATACAGGTTTTTTATAATCACAGACATCAATTACCAGTTGTCAGGGTAACATATTTGCATATCAGGGAATGCAGTTGCTAGGCGATACAGGTAGTAGGTTAGGGTCAAAAGTCCTCTCAAGGGGCTTCTAATCTATCTAGGTGAACAAACAGGTACAAAGTCTTTCAGGGGCTAACTTCTAAGTTTTAAGAGGTAGTTGTCAATTAAAAGAGGTAAAACAAAAGAGGTATAGTGACTCAATATTTCTTTGATTAGTTATGGTGGACTTAAAGGTAGAGAGGAGAGAGCAGGAAGCCCATCTCTAATTAACAGGTTGTTTATAACCACCAGGGCACTTCTCTGGGCAAAGTCCACTCATTGTCTCCAGCTCCCATCCTGTGGGCCATATCTGCCTTATCTTGTCTTTCAAGACACAGGGTAGCTCACAGGTTTTGAATACCAGGAAGCCTTCCTGGAAAACATCCCCACCAGAGATGTGAGAGCTCCCCCATGACAGCAGCCTCTAATAAGTGAACCACTGAGTCCACACATTCCTTCAGGGCAAAACCCTGCAAACTCCTGTTTTTGTCTCTAATATAGTAATACTGGGTTATACAATAAAATAATGATCTTATGAGCCACATTTCATTAATTCCTCAATCATATTTTCCCAACAGGTTGATAGAGCACAACTTACCTAAATTAGCAGTTTTACTACACCCTGGACAATGAAGATCCTACAACACTTTTGGTTGCATTCAACCGACTGCTCTGTTTGGATTTAGCATAGATTATCGCTCCTAATTCTTCCCTAAATCCTCAATCCTCCTTGTAATAGGATTATAATTCATGTCATCTGCCAGGTGACTCCTTGTATAATCCTGCCCACCTAAGTGGGGCAGTGTAATCCCCAGAACAAGGCATTCGGATGGCCTGTGACTTGCTGTGGCATGTGTGGACAGACAGGACCAAGGCCGACACACGCAGCCTCTCATGGGTCCACAAGTCCTGCCCACTGCCGGACAAGCTCCACCACCCACGGAGGCCACGGAGAACTGACAAGCAGAGAAGACCCCAATTAACAGGCTGGGGCCAGAGCCGGCGGCGCCCAGCTGTGCCCGTCTGCTGGAGAGCCGGCGCCACCAGGCTTCCTTGTGATCTCCCATTTTTCATTTCTGCCGTTTCCACCTGATCTTTCCATAGTTTTCGCCTGCCTGGTGAGAGTCCCCGTTGGCTGCCACCTCCCTCCAGGTCCCTTAGAACAGCTGTCACAGGCCTTCAAAGGGCCTGCTGGATGACGCCACCATCCAGGCTGCCTCTGATGTTCCTCGTGGCCACGGGTCTCCTTTCTTCTTCATATGTCAGGTGAAATGTTTTTACTGTATTCTAGTTTTTAAAAGTAAAAACTAGACTGAAATAAATAACGCTTACCTCCAGAAAAGAGCTCGCCCTACCCCTGCCCGACCTCGGGTGAGGGGGTCAGTCTTCTCCATATTTGGCTTGGGCCTGGGCCTGGCTGGGACATCAGTGTCAGTGCACAGCCCATGCTGGGCTGGAATATTTTGGGGGTGGATCCTTCCTTTAGCCTGACCTGTGATCTGAGTGCTGGTGAGATCTCCTCACACCCGAGAACCCGGACTTCAGCTTTCCAGACTATGGGAATCTCTTTTTCTGCTTTTCAGCCAATCCACCAGCTTGGGGGTTGTTAAAGGGTTGTCTTTCTCCTCTATTCCTGTCCCCAGATTTCTGCATCTCAGACGACGTCTCTGCCACCTGCTGCCCCACCTCAGCTTCAGCCTGCTCCTGCGAAACCTTCTGTGAAGGCCTGGAGAGCCTCGGAGAACCTTCTAGCAGAGAACCTTCTAGCAGAGAACCTTCTAGCAGAGCTCCCACGCTGTGCTGAACGTGGACGCTCCAGCCGGCACCTGGTGGCCGTCTTCAGACCCGCGTCAGCGTCACACACGGCCTGGAGACCACGTCACACGCTGCAGTGCGTCGGCTCCCATGTACCCAGCTCCGCTCTCAAATTATTTGTGAGCTATTGAGAATCATCGTCATGCCCTCAATACCCTACAAATGCCGGGCACTGTCCCCAGGGTGCGTTCCTCGGAGCTGCGGGACTTGGAAGTGCATGAGCGAACAACTGGAGGAGAGAGCAAGGCCGCCTAGCCCATCGGGACGCATTTTTGACTTTTTCAGCTCCCTCCAGACAGCACTTAATTGTTTCCTGAGTGGGTGAGCATTTTGACTCAATATTGGTTCTCATCCCTCAGTTTCTCTGCATGGCCCCTTCTGCCTGAGCCCGGAAGAGTAACGCAGCTCACTGACGCCGCCCGGGTCCCAGGCAGCTGAGTCAGACCAGTACGCAGCACACCCTCCCCAGCCGTGCACGCTGACTGTCGCTCGGCTTGTCTCCAGGGCAAAGCAAGTCTCCTCTCCTCCCGCAGCGGCCTGGCCCGCTCTGCTCTGTTACGGCAAAAGGTGCACAACAGGGAGTGACGGTGTCCGAAGGCAGGAGCGCCTGGGGACCCGAAGCCCGGTGCGTGTGGCGGCAGAGCCGTGGACCGTACGGCAGCCAAGTACTTTGTGTGTGGACACAGATCTCATCTGTGTCCTCTGCTCCCGAAAGCTCAGCCGGGACCCGGCCAGGCCCGGCCCAGCCCAGGGCTCCCGTGAGGCTCCCAGTAAGGGCTTGAATTCACCCCCTCAATTTCATGTGTGGGAGACTTAATCCCCAGTGGGGCCTTTGGGAGGTAATTTGGAATAGGTGAGGGTCACCAGGGTGGGCCCCCTGATGAAACTGGTGGCTTTATACGAAGAGGAAGAGAGACCTGAGCCGATACTGTGAGATGCCCCCACCAGACACCAGCGCCCCGCTCCGGGCTTGCCGGCCTGCAGACTGTGCGCTAGAGAAACCTCTTTTCTTCATGAATGTGCCATTCCATGCTGTTCCGCTTTGGCCACAGAAATGGACCAAGACACTCCCTTGCCCTGGGGAGTGTCTTGGCTGCCATCGAGGTCCCCTGCCACCTCCTTGGCAACCTGGTCCCACCCACCTTTTCGGGTTCATGCCCCGTGGCCCTGCCTGCTGGGCTCAGGCTCCGCCACTGCTTCAGATGTTTCCGGAAACTTCCGCCATTATAAGAGCAGTGCGTGTGTAATACGGGGAGGGGATCCAAGGGCCTTTCATGGCATGGGAGCTTTTAACAACATTGTTTATCTTGAACTTCTGAACTTGTGCATTCCATTCCATTTCATATCTGCCTTTGTCTTCATGAAAAATAAGTATTTAAATTGCCACTGAGTAATATTAACTATGTGAAATGAGTCTAAAGACAGAACTTAACCGCCGAGCTACTCTGAGGCTGAACGCCGCACGTGCGGCGTGCCCAACGAGGAAACCCTCGGCATGGGATTGTTGCCGTGACGGTCTCGAGTCGGGGCACTGCCGGGGCTCAGGGAGGGGCGTTGATGAGCAAGGACGAGCAAGCGAGGAACCAAAGTCCTGAGCTTGGGTCTGAGAGCAGAGAAGCCGAATGACCCCGACACGGCGTGGGGGCCCGCAGGAGGCGGAGAGGGTGGAATCTGCCCAAGAAGCAGATCAGATGGACTGTCCTGAGTGACAGTGTCAGAGGAGGAGACGACAGGGACACAGGGGTCCCTGGAGGCCCAGCCTGCCGCTCTGGGAAGATGAGTTCCCGTTACTCAAGTCCGAGAAATTGGAACCCCAGTGGAAGCGCCGGAGTACACAGGAGAGTGTTATATTAACACCTGTAGTCACCAAGCTGCAGGGCAGGCGCGAGTCATTACCCCACTTTACGGGTGAGGAAACAGGGGCCCAGAGAGGTCGCTCCGGTGACCAGGTGTCACCCAGCTGCCAAGTGGCAGAGCTGGAGTTTGAACCGCAGTCCAGAGCCCAGACGCTACTCACTGAGCTGAGTCTCCTCCTGGCTCTGCTCTCCCCTCCTCTGTGTTACGGGGCGTTTTGCACAAACCCTTGTGTCACTGTAGTGACAACTGCAGAATAATTAACTGAGTTTCACCTTCCCCAACAGATTCCTTTATTTCTCTTCCACCAGCAGCCATAGCCCAGTCCCTGACAAACAGTAGGCACTCAATAAATGTTTAAATGCGCCGATACACAGATAATGCCGTCCCCGTGTCTCTGCACTGCCACCGCAGGCTTTGTGGGACAGGTCTGCCTCGTGACGCCCTGAGCCCCCACCTGGCAGGTCTGGAGGGGACGCAGGGCCATGAAGCTTCTCCAGGAAGCCACCCCTCCCTCTCCCCAACGGCCCACCCACTACACCCACCACCTGCACCTTCCTCGTCCTCCCACCAAGATGCTCCTGTACCCTTTTGCAGACGGCGGGTGTGCTCACGTGTGCACTTAGCTTTTCCTGCACCCCCGGACATTTCCCTTTTGTGGACGGGAATTCCACAGGCACACCGCGTGGCCCAGTAGGTGTCAGGCCGGCACCTTCATGCCGGCTTCTGTCTGAGCTTCCTGGACACCCCCCCCCCCGCCGCCCTTCTGACACCTCCAGCTCTCCACGGGTTCTCGGTGAGGGGCAGTGGGATTCCTCCCTCCACAGATACACCCTCCATCTCCCAGAGGGTGAGAGAGGGCAGGGTAGGCTGGGCTCCATCCAAAAAACAAACAAAAAAAGAAGGATGTCTGTCCTAGCTCTGCACTGGCTGGAAGATGAAGTTGTCCTATGTTTAGACGACGATCACACCCTATGGGCCCCGCTGCTGTGGAACAATCATGATTCTTTGTGCATTTGTACAAACCCCAAAATCTTAACCCATCACAACTTCGGACCACTGTGGGGATGGGCAGCTCCGAGGGGACAAGGGCAGATCCCCTGGCAGGAGGGAGGAGGAGAAGACCCAGTCCTGGCTGTCCCGACCCTGAGCAAAGTCCCCGGGGGGTGACCTGTGAGCCCACCCTGGCTGCCTGGCTAGAAGGGACAGGAGGGTGTGAGTGGGGTGCCTGGTGCTGAAGCCCTGCCCCAGGTGGATGTAAACCTCCACCCAGGCAGGCAGGGGAGGGCCTGCTGGGGAAATCTCCGAGGCCCGTCTTCCCCACACCCTTCCAGGCCTGATGGAACAGAAGTGACATGTGCAGCAGCGTCTGGAAGGAGAAGAAAGCCCCAGCTTTTGTCTCTCACGCTGGATCAGCACCCCGGCTCTCCCATTTTCACCTGTGTGACCTGGAAATCACTTTGCCTTCCTGGGCCTCCATTCCTGCTCCTGTCGAAAGGATTTAATGATGCCTGTCGGGCAAGTGGTAGTGGGAATAAAAGACATAGTTTATGCAAGATGCCTGGCACAGTTCTCCACGCGGAGAGGCACCTCTACCTCTTGGCAGAGGTCGTCTTTCCTTTGTAGCCGCCATCGTCGTTTTATACCCAGCACAAGGGTCTCACCGCCCACAGTCCTCACTCACAGCCCCTTGTGGATCGTTGAAGACTAGCACTCGACATCACCTTGTCTTCAATACTGACGTTTTTCGTTGAACTAAAGAAGTGAAAAAGAGGAGAATCCTTGTTGTCAACAATTCCGATAATAGAGGCCATAGCGATACTCCTCATCCCGATTTCTCCCCCACCACGGAAGCAACTCACGCACCAGGGCGGGAGGCGTTGGGAAATTACTTTTTTAATCGTGAATGGCCTGAGAGCAGGCAGGAGCGGGCTGCCATTCTCTGATTAATACCGCCCTTCTCCCCCGTGGGGGTCAGGTGCAGGCGGTCCCGGCCTATCCATCTTTGTGCCGCTCTCCTCTGGGTGACTGTTACTGAGCACGTGGGCTGTTACAATGACAAACTCCCCGCCGCAGTGCTAGCCGGTGACCTAATTTCCGTGTGGAGATGAGCCCAGCTCACGGCCTCAGCATCGGTTCTGAGGGAATGTCACACCAGGCCTGGAAACCTCTCCCCATGGCCCCCACATCTGTCGGACAGGGAAACTGAGGCTTTGACAGGGAAGTTCCCAAAAACCCGAGCAGTAGAAAGTGGCAGAATTAAGAGTTAAGTTGCCCATTTTTGGGCTTCTGAGTCAAAGTTACCGTTTTGTTTTGTTTTCACCACTCTGCCTCAAACAATAATCAGTTCCACAGTCATGTTCTCGTCAGTCCATGTGTGAACCCTTGAGATATGGCACGTTTGGACCCTTGAGACGTGGCAACGTGGCAGGACAGCACAGCCCCACCTGTGGGTCAAAGGGTTCCTCCAGTCCAGCAGCACCTGCTGACAGCCCGTACATATGTTCAGAGACAGACAGAGACAGGGACACAGAGAGGACGAGAGGGAGAGGGAAATGGAGGGAGGAGAGGGGGCTGGCCGAGAAGGACATTTCTCCAGTTCCCATTCCGCGCCCTCTACCTGCGCTGGGCGCCACAGAGCACACTGCCGGCTCCGCAATCAGCACGGGAGAATTAAACCCTAATCATAACTGCTTTTGTCTCCTGATGATGTTTTGTCTTATATGACAATTTCTGCAGAAATAATTGATTTTATGGCTTGATTTCATTCCTTGCCTATCATGTTGAAGACATAAACACGTAATGAGATTGTTGTCTAACATTCACTGAGATTAAATGCCGGCAGAGTATCTGGGATTAATCAACCCTGTTTCTCTCATTAGATTATCTGGAGCAGCTCGAGCCAACAGGCAGGTTTCACTCAGCTTGCGGCCTGTCCCCAGCAGATGTGGCCCAAGCATGCACAGTGACACCGAGGGGGCCAGCTGCAAAGGGCTCTGCTGCAGGAAGACTGCCCGGAGAGCAAGGGGCAGGGGCAGGTAGCCCACGGGAGCCCTGGCCTTCAGGGTCCAGGAGGACCTCGGGCAGAGGAGTGAGGGCAGTGTGTTCCTCCAGCAGTGTCTCAGAGATTAAATAAATGGGGCGATGAAGAAATCAGGGTGAAGGCAAGTGGTAAGAGCACAGCCCGCCCCCCCACTGGCTGGAGGTGAGAGAACAGGGTTCGGCCCAGACCTGCTTCACTGGGGCCTGTGCTCTAAGCAGCCTCCCTGCCTCTCTGCACCTGATATTCCAGCCGGGAAGGGAAGGGAGAAGGACAAGGACTGTCCCTGAAAGGGCCACAGGAAGGGGACATCAGTTGGAGGACCCGCCTCAGGGCAGCTCTGCAATCTCAGACCTGCTGTACAAACTTTTAAGCCTTAGTTTCCCGAAATAACGATAAATGTATTCGCTGTACACAGTCTTAGAGTAGGGTTGCCAGATAAAATGCAGGATCTCCAGTTAAATTTAAATTTCAGATTAACAACAAATATTTTTTTTCAGTATGACTGTATCCCACATAGTTCTTGGGACATATTTATAGTAAAGATTTATGTATTATCTGAAATTCAAATTGAACTGCACACCCCACATTGTCATCTCTTAAATCTGCAGCTCTAGCTTAGAAAGAATGCAGCGTCATACACATTTCTTCCTATTATTTCACGTATTCAATCAACAACTATTTCTTCAGCACCCACTATGTGCCAGACACCGTTTTAGACCATGAGAAGAAAATGGCAAAGAATGAATGTCATGCATATGTTATTTAAATAGCACACACAAAAAAGCAGTTAAAACCGCTGTGGTGCATCTAGAAATTAACTAGTTTAAGAGAAAAAAAATCCCTGGTGGGGGCGGGGGTGGGGAGGGTGTGGTTCTCTAAGATGAAAGTAACGAGTTGCCCAGGTGCTCTGGACGCCCACGGCTCAGCTCGGCCAGTCACTCCGCAAAGACCCTGAACTTGCACATAGTAGGCGCTGTTCTTGGGGCGACACCGAAGGCCTGGACGAAAAGACGTCTTGCACACAGGGACTTTCGCTCTAGATGAGGGAGCTCGCAAGGAAACACACGCAGCGCATCGGGAAACACCGGGCCGCAGGCGCGAGGGCTGAGCCAGCTCCCCCGTGCCCAGGGCCACTCCGACAGGCCCAGCACCCAGGACCTGAGACAGCCCCTTCACACCGGCTCCCGCCTGCTGCTCGTGCCACCCCCCCCCGAGAGCGTGCGTGGGTGAGCTGTCCTCTAGGAGGGACGTGGGAAAGGCACACACCCTGCCCCGTCCACATACCCACACATGCACACGTGCACATACATGGTCTGACCCAGGCGTGCTTTCTTGCCTGAGCCTCCTGCGTCCTCTATTTCCAGCGGGTCTGAACTGTACATGAGACTCGGCGCATCACTGGCCAGTAAAGCTGGGGCCACAGAAATTGCTATTTCAGCCGATAATGACAGTTGCATATTGAGTTTCCTACAGCTCAAACTGGTATTAGGGTGGCGTAGTGTCCAGGGCGCCTTAATGCCCAGATCCTACGTTGGCCTGGTCATTTTTGCTCCCGATGAGCTCTCAGAGAGACGGAGCCCAGGTGGGACATCGACAGATCCCGGCAGCGAGCACTTTATCCACTGCATTGCTCCCACCCGACACAGTACTTTCTGGCAAAGCCGAGTGGGAGCAGGTGACTCGGCTTCAAAACCCAGACGTGAGTCCTTCTCCCCTCCAAGGGGAAATGGAAGACAGGTCGTGGCGCTGACACTCCTGCTGCCCCAGACGCTGGTTCAAGCAGGAGGGCTGGGCAGGGAACTCGGCCGCCTCCCCAGAGTGACCCGCCCACTGGGACACGGGGTGAGTCCTCTTCCCCACTCACGCCGTCCTGTCCCCAGGGGAGCCTCACCAACCAGCGTATTCCCCAGACCTGTCCTGAGCCAGGCGGCGGGAAGGGACATGTGGAAACAGGGACCACCACCTCCAGCCACCTCCCCTTGGTTGGGCAGTTGGGCAACGCAGGGCCGTGGGGAGGGCGGCGTGCATCCGGCACAGAAGGTTTGTGTTCTGAAAGTCAATTCTTTGGTCGTATTTGACGAAGGACCCACGTCCTGCGCAACTCTCAGGACTCAGGCGCGTCCCGCCTTGTCCGTGAAGCTTCTCCATGACTGAGGCTGCGTCTCGGGGATTCCGCTGGGCCGCCAGCGCCCCCAGACAGCCTGACCCCACAGAGCCACCCAGAGCACTCAGCACGCGCACAGGACAGGCCCTTGCCTTCCTGGGTGGACAAGAGCCTCCTCCCCAGCCTCTTCCCCCCTCCAGCCTCCCCGTGGTCTGCCCTCTCTGCTGTGGACCGCAGCCCTGGCAGCCTGACCCGGCCCGCCACAGGGCCTCCCTCTGGGGGAAGAAGCTTATCCTCAGCACAGCATCATCCTGGGCGTCCTGGCCTGTGCCCCCATCTGTGGTCTCTTCCCCTGGTCCCCCACACACTCAGTGCCTGGTGTGCTGCCCCCTCGCATGCCCCCTGCACCCACCCGGGCCCCAGCCTGCTCACGGCACCTGGCCAGGCGGCCCGTCCGCACCCCCACGTCTGGCTGCCTGCTAACCATTCGTTAAGATTCAGGTCTAGGCCCACCTAGCCCAAGAGGTCTTCCTTGTCCCCCAAATCTGATGTAAACTCTCCTTCCTTAAATTGCCATTGCTTTGTGATCCTGTGTAGAGCTGGTGAAGTGCTCTGGGCTCAGTTTGCTCACAGGACGATGACCTGCGCCTCGGGACTGCTGTGTAGACAAGTGCGTCAGACAAAGTCCAGCTCGGAGCTGGCCTGGTGCTCACGTTGGTGGAGCGGTGACCATCTTTGCGTGTCAAACTTCTCGAGATGTGTTTTAGGGTCCACTCTCACACTCAGAGCACAGGCTCGTACTCTAAGTATTTCTGTTTCTTGGGACTGACCGACAGGTTAGCTGCTCAGTAAATCCCAGTCCGTGGGTGGAGTGGACCACGCCAGCACAACCAGGGCCACACTCTCCTCCCGCTCCCGCTGAAGTGTGTGTGGCTCCGTGAGTTAGTTTCCTAGAGATGCCGCAGGTGCCACAAACTCGTGTTTAAAACAACAGGGATTCATCCGCTCCCAGTTGGGAGGCCAGAAGTTTGGAGCCAGGATGCGGGCAGGGCTGTGCTCCCCTGCGGCTCCTTCCTGACTCCCCAGCCCCCGGTGGCTCCGCATGTCCCTTGGCTTGTGGTCACACCACCCGTCTCTGCCTCCCAGGACACAAGGACTTCTCATCCGTGACTGCGTTACCTCCTGTTCTCTTCCCCGGCAAGGACTTGTTACCAGACTTAAAGCCTAAGCTGACTCAGGGCGACCTCACCTCCAGCAGCTTAGTTCAGTCATGTCTACACAGACCCAGCGTCCAAATACACTCGTACTCGCAGGTGCCAGGGTAGGATTTGGGCAGATATTTTGAGGAGACATAATTCAACCTACCACACCCCTTATAACTCGGGATACGGGAAACTTTTCCTTCTGAATTCCCAGGGCTACCGGAACACGGTTCAGCCGTGCTGGTGTGTGTGACGTGTAATTAGAGGCAGCTATTTCCGGGAGACGTTGGTTTTGACAGGGGGCTGGGGACGCTGGGCTATTTGCAGGGTTTGCATATGGAAACCATCCGTGAAGATCCGCTCCAGGAGGCGCTTGCTGTGCACGGAAGCGGCAGGATGCTGGGAG